GCACAGGCCTTTCCCAAGGCAGTTTATGTAGACCTTTTCCAAGGTCATGAACCAACATTTGCATTTGCCTGCTGGAAATTGGTCCTTGTGAGCATTAGCTGCATCAGGACTCTATACTTAGGAGCTACCTTCTGAGATAGCTTGGAGGATGCGACCCCCATGCTCACACTATGTGTGAGTCTTGATATCCTTCCCACAAAATCCTCTCCTTTCCAGCAGCTCTGCACTGTGGGGTTGAGGTATTTGGCATTGAAGAGGAGGTGTATAAATGTGTGGTGTTTGGCCACAATGTTGAATGACTTTCTGCCCTTTTCCAAGGACCATGCATTCAAAAAGGAATACTCGTCCAAAAACCCTTTTCCAAGGGCTAGTGATGTCTCATATTCTTCTTTGGAAAGAAATGTGCCTGCACTGTCCCACACCTCAATGAGCTTTTCCAAGCTCTTTGCAGCAGAGATCATTGCTTTCTCTTCCCTTTTCTCTGTACCAGCAAACATCCTTTCCAGGACTGGTATCAATGCTGGCAGGAGGTGCTTAGTTTCTCCCCCTTTGCATTCCAATGTGGCCCACTTGCTCCATGGTTTTTTTGGGTCAGTCAGCATGGACAACCTGAGGTTTGTCAATCTGCTAACTGTCCTTTTCTCTGTGTACTCCACTTGCACTTCAGAGAATATAAGAGCTAGCCTTTCCCAAGGCTGCTTGGCGCATCTTTTTCCAAAGCCTTCAATGTAGCAAGCATAGTGCAATATCCCACCAATGAGGTGGTTGTAGATGCCACTGCACCACAGAATGTGCAGGGGGTCACCCCTCACATGCTTTGGGCTCACATGGGGCACTTGGAAGAGTGGGTGGTCAGACCACTGATCATCCAAATGCTCGTTGTGTGAGTACACATAGATATCAAGCTTTTCCAAGCTGATCTGTTTGAAGCGCTTTCCCAAGGCACAATCATCTCCTCTCTGGGCATCACACTCCCAACAAGGGGTGTATGATGCCCAGTGAGGCAAGGATAATGCATTCACATGAAAATCCTGGTCTCCTATGACGCACCAAATTATTCCTTTGAACCCCTTGGGGTGCAAGAGCTGCCCTTGGTATTGGTACCAAGGGCTGCCCTTTTCCAAGGGCTTGTTGTCAGGGTCAAGGGTAGGGTGCTTTCCAGCTTGTAGAGCTTGAAAACTCCATCGAAACCATTTCCACATGCCTGACCAGGTGTTTTTGGAAGTGGACAGCTTAGGATACGCACCCAGTAGAAGATGACTTTCCAATGAGGTTTTATCACTGAGCAAGCTGCCCCAGCTGAATGTCATTAAGCTGTCCCTTGATTGAAATTCGACTCCATCTCCATGGAGGAACAGTGGGATACAGCATTCCTCCCAACCCTTTTCCAAGGTCATTGGGTGATTGACAAGTTTGTCATCGCCTGAAGCTTGGACCCCTTGCCAAAACTTTTCCAAGTTGCCTTTTCCAAGGCAGAAAAGGGAATGGAAAAATGCAGAGAAATTTTCACCAAGCTTGGCAAACATCATATGTGGTAGGAAAATGCTGGCATCCACCACAGACTCTTTTGAAGTCTTGGAATCTACACATTCCACTGGGACTTCAAAGCTTTGGCAAATCTGCACATCTGAGCAGAAGTGCCCCATGATTTGCCTATGGCAATTAGCTGGATGGAGGCCCCATGACCCTGCCTTTGCCAAGGCCACTAGGTCTTCATGAGAGGCACCATCCTGCATAGCTAAATCAGCAATCTCCCTGATCAGCACTGCACTGAGCACCCCATTGGCCCAAAGTGCCAGGAGCTTATTGGCCAGTGCTGATTGAGGCTAATCACCCTTTTCCAAGGGGCCTGCCTTTTCCAAGGCCTTTTTAGGCTTGGCTTTGGGAGCCAACCCTGATTCCAGTTGCAGTTGCCACCCCCTCAACCTTTTGGCCATTGGCCTTGAGATGGAAAAATGGCTGCAGCAAGAACATGTTGGGTTACAAGTTTTGTGTGCAAATGCTTTGTGTATATCCCCAGCCCCACCCATGCAGAGCAAAGCAATTGTTTTTCCTGCAAGCTGCTCGACATGAGCATCTTCCTGCACACATGCTTTCCTTTTGAAAGCAACACCTCTACAAAACTATAGCTTTTCCAAGCTTGTGCTGCTACATAGACACTGCCTTTTCCAAGGCAGACCTTTTCCAAGATCACTTCTTGGACCTTTTGGAGGGAGCGACAGAGCTGGCTCTGTTGGCCAACTGCTTCAGTTCCTTGGCTTCCTCCTTGGCACCTTTGATGGTCTCAGCACACTCCTGCAAAACCTTTCCCAAGGCTGCACTGGTGGTTGGCTTTTTGCTTCCCAAGTGGCCTTTCAAGACCACCAGCAACCTCTGCAGCTGTTGGCCAAGGCCTTCAGCTGTGGCCTGCCCTTGCTTTGACAGCTTGGCCTTTGCCTTTCCCAAGGCTTCTTCCAAGTCATGCTGGGTCGAGACCACCTGGTCCCTGGCCTTCCTAGCCTTTTTCAAGGCCTCCTCTTCAGTGGGCTCTTCCTCCTGCAGTTCCTCACCATCCACTTCACCATCTTCAATGGCCAGTGGACCTTTCCCTTTCCCAAGGGCACCTTTCCCAAGGCCCTTCTTCCCTTTGCCCTTGCCTTTTCCAAGGCCTTTGCCCTTGCCTTTCCCAAGGCCAACATCAGAGATGTCTTCAAGGCCCAGGCCCATAGCATCCCTGGTGTAGAGCTGACTGAACTTTTCCAAGTCCTCTTCCTCAGGTTCCCACTCCTGACCCTGCTCCCACCTCTTGCCTCTGCCTACATTCAACTCTCGACTCCAGTCTTGAGTATCTTTGTATTGCCAGAGGCCCCATGTGACTGGGTCTTCTCTGTAGATGACCCTGCCAGAGGCAATGTGCTGGTTCAGCTCTGTTTCATCAAACCGATCCAGCATCTGCTTCCAGGACTCCCATTTGTCGCCCTTTTTCAAGGACTCAGAAGCCTGGACTTCTTTTCTGGTGTGAACATATTTTTTGCACACCTTCCTCATCAGCCATAGAGCTGCGCTGAGGCCTTTGTCTCTCTTAGACAAAGCTTCATGCTCCTCCTTTTCCAAGGGGTTGTGATTCAGGTGTGTTTGGTGCTTGCCCCACACCTGTTGAGCTTCCTTTGGGGTCAGGCTTTGCTTCAGCAAAGATGCAGCTTCCTCTTCATCAGAAGCTGCCTCTGCTGCTTGCTGAACTTTCTCATCCAATGTCATTTTGCCCAACTTTTCCAAGTTGGTCTTGTTCAGCTTTGCCTTTCCCAAGGCCTTTGACCTGATCTTAAGCAATCCCTTTGGCTTGGCCTTTCCCAAGGCCTTTGGCTTGGCCTTTCCCAAGGCCTTGGCTTTGGCCTTTTCCAAGGCCTTGGCCTTGGCCTTTCCCAAGGCCTTCATGGCACACTTCATAACTTTCATGGGGGCCATACCAACCTAACCAGTACACACTATCCAATCCAGCACACTTGATCCAAAAGCCTGCAAAGGAATACAAAAAATACAAAAACTTAGAACCTGATGAAATCTGATGAAACCTGATGAAATCTGATGAAACCTGATGAAATCTGATGAAAACATTGGTTTCATCAGATTTCATCAGATTTCATCAGATTTCATCAGGTTTCATCAGATTTCATCAGATTTCATCAGGTTCTAAGTTTTTGATTTCATCAGACTTCATTTGGTAGAAACACTCTGTGAAGGCAATGCCTGTAGTTGAATGAGACCTTCTCAAACACTTTTCCAAGGTCATTTGGGGATTCATTCCTGTGTCATTCAACCCTGATCCCATCTAAACCTGAACCCTGCCACTTATAGAAACTATCTTGGTTAGCTTGCATTTCAAAAATACATGTATATAATATATATATATGATATTTTAACAATAATTGTATATTAAATATATATTAAGAAAAGGGTATATTAAAATATATATTTATATACACATTTTTATTTATTTGTATATAATTAGTTATTATATTTATTTTCCATTTCTCTTCAAGTCCAGGCTCCCCCCATGTTAGGGGGCACCTGCAGGCATGCAAGTCGAATTCTTCTGCTGCAGCCCTTTCCCAAGGGCAATTGTTCCTTTTCCAAGGAAACACAGAGCCTTTTCCAAGGCCATCATTCCTTTTCCAAGGATCTCTTCAATCCTTTCCCAAGGACCCTGCAAACCTTTTCCAAGGTTTTGTTGAAGCTGGTGAGTGCCCTTTTCCAAGGGTGTAGACAAGCACAGCTTCTCTGAAGTCCCTAAACTGATCCTTTTCCAAGGTGTGGGATGGCTTCTTGGACCGCACCTCAAAGGTCATGAGGTTTGATTGCCTGGCTTCCTCACAAACCTCCCAGTCATCATCGATGACTGCACAGCACCCCCAGTAGACTGCATGATCCACTTTGCCATTCTTCTTCAGTTTGTGAAAGGTTGTCCCAATGTATTGGATCTCATCTGCCTTTTCCAAGGCCATCATTTCCTTCATGGCCTTGTCCTTCCTCCACTCACTGCCAACCCAGCTCAGGAGGTAAACCTCTGCTTTCTCAAGCAGCTTGCCCAAGGCCCACAGATTGTATTCTGGCACCCAGCCATTTGCTTTCTCCAGGGTGCCATGCCAATCAACCAAAACCTTAGGCTTTTCCAAGCCTAAGCCCTCACTCTCTGCCTTGCTTTTGAGGGACATGCTGCCAGGCCTGGGGCTCAGCACAGCCCTGTAGCCCATCTTGCCAATCTTCTTGGAAGAAGTGGCCTCCTCTGCATCCTTGCTGGGTGCCTTTTCCAAGGCTTTTGAAGATGTGCCCTCATCTGCATCCTTGCTGGGTGCCTTTTCCAAGGCTTGGAGGCTCTCCTGGGGAATGGATGCAGGAGTGCCTCTCAGTTGGCTTTCATTTCTGCTTTTGCTTCTCTTCCTTGCCTCCTTTCTCAAGGGTGCATTGGAACTAGAAGCGCTGCCACTGGAAGACTCAGTGGTAGGGGAAGCCTTGTTGCTCTTAGACCTTTGTTTCTTTTTGCCCTTTGCACTTTCCCAAGTGCTGGTCTCTTCTGCTTCCTCCTTGGCCTTTTCCAAGGCTTCCTGCTCTGCCTTTTGCTGCCTCACCTCTGCCAGCTTTTTGGCACACTTGTCCCTTGCCTTTTCCAAGGCTTCCAAATGCTTTTCCAAGCATTCCTCACTTGCTGGGTCCTCTTCCACAAGGGTGGACCACTGCTTTTTGTGCCTGACCTCTCTCCTTCCAGCAGTGGTGGACCCAGCCCCCCAGGGTCGACCATGCTGGTTCCTCCACCAGCCCTGGTCATCCCAGGAATCATCATCCCAGGAATCATCGTCCCAGGGGCCATGAGCCATGCTTTCCCAAGCTTTGGCTTTGCTTCTGTGAAGCAATGCTTTTCCAAGCTTTGGCTTGTTCAAGCACTGCTTTTCCAAGCAAACTGTGGCTTAAAGCCACAGCCCATGCAAGAGAGGCTAGCTAGGCTGGGTTGTTTCTGTTGTTTCTAGTCTGTGTCCTACAGCATCCAGTTCACCACCTAAGCCTTAGCCCTGCCTGTGCAAATGTGTGTGTGTGCAGTTTGCATGTGTGTGTGTGCTGTGCTGCTGAGTGCTGCTGTGCATTCTGGAAGTGTGTAGCTAAGCCCTAGCTGCTTGAGCAAACAGCTGCAGACCCAAATGAACATGAGGTTGAGACAATGAGTGCGCTTAGAACAGCCTACCCAAGACAAAAAACATCCAAACTACAGAGGGCACCTTGTAACCTTGTAAGCTTTTTCCTTTTTCACCTGCAGTTTTGCAAGTCAAACCACTTTGTGGTGTTCAAGGTAGGCTACATGCACTTTGCACAAAGCCTTTTCCAAGGCTAGCCATTGTCTTTTCCAAGGCCACCCATTGCCTTTTCCAAGGCTATCCATTGCCTTTTCCAAGGCTAGCCATTTTTTCCAAGGCCACCCATTGCCTTTTCCAAGGCTAACCATTGCCCTTTCCTAGGACACCCATTGCCTTTTCCAAGGACACTGTCAGCAACCATGCTGCCTGCAAAGCTCTTCTCTCAGTTCCAATGCCTCCTCCTTTGTCAAGGCATTCTTTTCCAAGGATGCCTTGATGTCATCGATGACTTGGAGATAGGCAGGGCATCTTTTCTGTGTAACCTCAACAATCAATTTTAACTTTGAACCAATCTCTGTGGTGCCTGTGAGATATGACCTTTCAGGCTTCTTGGCACATGTCTTCTTAATCTTCCACCAAGGTGCCCTCTCACCCTTTTCCAAGGGTGTTGCAGCAGCCTTCTCCAAGGCTTTTGCATTGCTTGCCTTTCCCAAGGCTGCTTTGCTTGTGCTGGTTTCAATACCCTTTTTCAAGGGTCTTCCAGCTGGCCTTTTGCAAGGAGCTGTATAGCCTAGGGCTGCTTTGAGGTCAGATGCACCCTTGGCCACCCTGCTGCCTGGCCTTGCCCTGGCCACAGAGGAGGCACTGGCAGGTCCCTTTTCCAAGGGTTCATTTTCCAAGGATGCAGCCTTTGCAGCCTCTGGGCTGCCAAGCATCTTGGGAAAACCATGCTTGTCGAGTGATATGTCACTCTCCTCTTCTTTCAGCTTCCTTTTGCAGCCTTTCCCAAGGCCCTCAGCAGGATGCTTTTCCAAGCATATGCTGCTTTGTGCAGAGGGCATGCTTCCCTTTCCCAAGGGCTTTGCAAGAGGTTCACTTTCCAAACAATTTTCCTTTTCCAAGGAAGGTTCCTTTTCCAAGGAAGGTTCCTTTTCCAAGGAAGCAGCAGCCTTTGCACCCTTGCCAGGGGCAGTGTTGCAGGCAGATCCAGCATGTTCAAGTGTTTCTTGAACTGCTCAAATTCTTCCCTGCTCAGCTTGGCTGCTGCAACTTGCAACTGGGCATCACCCCTCTTGCACTTTCTCACATGTGTGAGAATGCAGCCAATTCTCTCTGTTTTTAAATTTGCCCAGACTTCACCAGTGTGAGGTGTTTGGTTCAAACTTGGTTTCTGAGAGAGCAAGCTAAGAAGGGCTGTTCTCATGGGCTGGGTGTGCACTTCCCCTGATGGCTCTACCCTCACCAGGGCTGACCACAGAGGCATTGTGTACACCAAGCCTCTTGGACATGGCACTTGTGAGCGGCTTACATGCTCATAGCCTCCAAGGTTAGACACAAGCCCTTCATGTGAAGAGAAAACACTGAACAGCAGGTCAGTGTCCACATAGGGCTTTGCTTTGTGTCTTGCCCCACCTCTGCCACTCATGGGTACCTTTTCCAAGGTCCAAGCTGCCCTTTTCCAAGGGTTTGTTGTCAAGGTCAATTCTTGCACCTTCTAGTTTATGCTTAGAGCCAAAACTCTGCAGAACCCATGAAAGTTGGCATGCGAAAATCAATTGCTAAATCAATTAGAAAATCAATTACAAAATCAATTAGGGCAACATTTGAAAATCAATTAAAATTTTGCTTTTCAAATCAATTAAATTTTCAATTGCCCGGATTGATTTGTCTAATTGATTCTAATCAATCAGAGAAAAATCAATTGCTCCAATTGATTTTCAATTGATCCTAATCAATCAATGATTCTCAGGGCTTAAGTGTACTGTGTTGCTGCCACAGTGAAGATTACTAGCACTCGTAGTGTTCTAAGCGGTATCCGACAGACACAAGTGAGATATGGAAGCGAACTCACGCATTTTGGAACAACTGGTTGCAGGGTCGGCCAATGTAGTGGACCAATGTCTAGCTAGCTGCGCGGGCTTGTGCGTCGAATGGGAAAATGCAGCTGGGGACACCAGAGATGCTTTTGTTACTCCCGTATATATCCTAACGTGAGCAGGCTTGTTTGTGCTGCAAGACTGTACTATCACTGGTTTGCAGGTTTTATGTTTTGAGCCGCGACCAGATGTCCGCTTGTCATTGTCATTTGCACAGCATGTAGTTTAGCATCGTTTGCCTGAAGTCAATTGGGGTGGGGTATGATTGAAAACTTGATGTTTGAGTTTAGCACACCCAACCCCTGGCTGCGGCGAACAAAACAGCAATGCCAAGGAAGTGGCTGCTGGGCAGTGGTTCACGCCCGGGGTCGCGCTCCGAATAAAGAGTGGCCACGGAGCAGAGCCTTTTGGTGCACTTGTCATTATCAAGCTTCGCATGTGCATGTTTTGTTTTGCCATCAAAGGGTCTTGTAGTTGCATGCCGGGTCTGGAAAAAGATGAGATTCGTCCATCGCTGCGTGATGGGCTCAGTGCATGACATTAGATATTTAGGGCACCTGATCCCTGGGCCAATCAGCAGCCATGGATGGACAAGCGGTTTGGGCCTCAGATCAAACAGTAAGTCGATGTTTGGCTCCAGTTGCGTTGCTGAAACAACCCTTTGTTATTGTAAACAAGCAAAGGCGACACGCCTTTTCACAAGACAGTGAACTCTTGTGCCTAAAGCGGCGGCCGGCAGGGTCAACTGAGTGTCACATTCACACTCGTCTTCTATACTATTGAACCTGCCGGCTTTAGTTCCTTCAACTGACCCCACCACTCCTTGGTCTTTGGAATGACCCTTGTCAGATTGCCTGACATCTGTGCTGAAGTGGGGAGCCAGTGCAAGGCCTTGCGGAAGGTGGTCTTCTGTTCGAGCTGCCAGGTGGACTCCTCTTCTTGAATGATCTGGCGAATGGCAGCAAGATCGACCATCAACCGCTTCTCTGGTGGTGCTCTTGGCCCTCCGATTCGGTAGACCGAATCATAAAAAGGCTTGCAGTCGGTAAGGGAGACGATGGGAATCTTGTGCCCCATTCCTGGAAAACACCCTAAAAGAACAGCTCTGAAGGCAATGGCAGATTCCCAACCCTCCAGTGCCGCCATAGTTTCAGCCGCAAAGGTGCTTCGGCAAACCCGGGGACATGCATGGGACTTCCAGCATGCCACCAGCCCTTGACCAGTCTTGCCCTCGAGGATGTTCTTATGGGCAATCAGAGTGATATGCCCCAGTTGGGAGTAGATGTCGGTGTCCTTTTGGACCGCGTCGTCCAGGTTCTCTGCATTCTCGGGGATGTTAGCCCAGGCCGCGTCGTGGTAGACGAGGAGGATCAGGTCGGAGAAGTTCCCGAGCTTGGTGTAGGTCAGCTTTTCATCCTTGGCTTGTTGCGCCATGTGTACCACCTGGTTGGTGTCCTGAATGTCCTCATAGGTCGGGCTCTTTTGTTTTCTCTGTGCCATTGACACCCCAGCTTGGATGTCTGGCCTTGTCTGAGAGGCAAGCCCCAGTGTTGCAACTTCATCTGCTTTTCCTTTCAGGTCAGCTCCCTTGGGGATGTCCACGGTTTGCAACCTGGTGTTGACGTAGTGCTCCTGGCTCAAGGAAATTTCATCGGCTGACTGTTTGATAGACACCCCACAATATTCTAGCCCATCTTTCGCATCATCCCATGTGTCGATAGGGAAGACGTCGGACAGGGCCTCCTCCATCTTGCGCCGGAGGTCCAACTGGGCGGAAATGAGAATGTCGTCGACATGGGTAGCCAATAACCCGTGAATCTCCTTCTCTTCGTTGACCAGGAGGAACAAGCAACTGTCCAAGTAGTGTTGTTCCAGGTTCAGGCTCATTCCTTTGTATTCAATCTTGATGTCTTTCAATGTTCCAGCGAGTTTGTCCCACCATAGGCGTGGTGAAGTTGAGAGTCCAAAGACCCCTTTGACAATTTCGATGAGTGACCCTTCCTCGACTCCCTCCAATCCCGTTGAAGGTGGTTCGAAGTAGAGGTCCCGTCGAGCTTCGACTCCATTGAGGAATGCCGCCTCGATGTCCCCTGCGGCCAACGACCAGCCCAGTTGCACGGTGAGGAAAACCAGACATGTAATTGACACCTTAGTGGCTGTAGGTGCCTCGGTGTTGAGTTGGCCGGTTTTGAGATCAGGGTCTCGATGTCCCCCAACACATAGCCGAGCTTTGGCTTTCGCAGGTACTAAAGGATCTTCTCGTCGTTTGGCACAGTTCTTGTCCCGGTAGGCAAACCGTGCTCTTAGTATCCTTTCTTTGGGAACCCTCTTGCGAACCTCTGCTGCAATGTGGGCAGGGAGGATCTTAATGGCCTGATATTTGAGATGTTCACCCCATTGTTTCTTCTCGGCCTCCTTGTACAAGGGGATTTCGTCTTCAGGTATCTGGTTCCACTTCAACTCTTTGTCTGCTTGCTTCTGCAGCGCCCGTGGCACCCTGTCACTTGAGGCCATATAGCACAGAAGCTCGTCGTCTTCAGGAACTGGGACATTGGCGGGCACCATCGGAACATCCCCCTTTTGTCTCATTCTCTTGACTGGTACCAGTTTCTGTTCGGCCTCTCGTTTACTGGCTCTTGTCCTTTCTCCTTCATCATCTCCAGGAGGTCCGTCGTCGGGTTCAGTAGGGGTATAGTCCATCTCTGGATGTTCAGACTGATGAGGTTCAGGATCTCCAGTGGCGTCCGCGAAGACCTCAGGATCGTCAACTTCCATCCCTTCGATCAATTGCATTAGGTCCTTCTTGACCGCGCGGGCTTGTAGTGCAGCGCCCAGTTCCTCGGACTCGGCTAACCTGAGGTGTTCACGAGCACATAGGAGGCAGCGACCCCCTCTTGATACCCAGAAGTTCTTTCCTTCTTGGCCCACCACGATGCCAGGCCCAATCCATTCTCCAATATTCTGTCTCTTTCGAGCAACTCCCCCGGCCATCTTCGAAGTGCGGTAGATGTAGACATATTGGCCTTGTTGAAAATCACCACGCAAAACCCGGGGACGGCCATGTAGTGCTCGTTGAAGACTTTCAGAAGCTTGTAGCTGGATGTAAGCTTCACGGGCTGCTTGTCTTATGCTAGCTCTTCTCTGCCAGTCCTCGGATGGGTTGATGAGGTCTTGTCGCTCTGCAGTATCATCGTCTCCCTCAGCTAGACCGATGCCGAGCCGAGGGGTGACGCCAAATAGCCACTGAGCAGGTGAGTAGCCATGCCGTCTCCTGAGGTAGTTCTTGGCTTCCCCTACGGCAGCGAGAACCCATTCTGTTTCGTGCTCCTGCATGGAAGTGTGCTCTTTCACCCGATCAAACATTTGTCTGAACCATTCGTTCTGTCGTTCGACATGACCGTTTTGCCAATGTGCTTGCCCGGCTGTGTATTGGACATTGATTCCATGTTTCTCTAGCTCGGCTGGGAAGTCTCTCGTGAGTCCCGCTTCCTGATCAGCTAGAACGGTCGTAGGTGTGCCCGCCCATGCCATCCATGCGTGTAGGAAACATCCCACATAGTCTCCCCCTTTTCTCCCTGTCACGGGGTACACCAGGTGAAATCCTGATCCCACATCTAGCATAGATAGGACCGTGACTTTGGTGCCTTTACATGTGTACAGGTGCATGGTGTCAACGGCAACCTCCTCGTTGAAGTCGAGTGGTTTCACCACCTTGGCTGGCCTCCGGCTTCCTGAATTGGAGGATCGGCAGCAAGTCTGGCACCGTAATTGTTGGCAAGCCTTCACCACCTGTGCATCAGCTCCTGCAAGACGTAGGCGTCGTGCTAGATCTTCATTCGATAGATGTCCCATGTTCTGATGAACTCGTCTGAGGGCACTTGCAGTTCCTTTTGGCACATGGCTTGGAAATGAGATGGCTGAGGCGCTCTCGTCAATCTTGACTATCGATAGGTCCTCACTAGGCCCCGCCAGCGGCCCATCTCCTGCTCGGCCAGGTAGAAGATGACTCTCGACCGCAAACGCGTCCAGAATGGTTCGTCTCCTTTTTCTCATGACTTCTTACGACCGCTCTGGCGAACTGTGGGGTATATTGCCCAGCTGGTTTGGTGTTTTGTCCTGCTGTGGCCCCGTGTCCATGGGTACAGGTGCATGTTCTGGCAAGTCCCTGCGCATAGGCCTCGTCCGTGATGTAGACAGTTGTCGGCTTCCTGAGCAACTCCCCATCGGTGACAGCTCTGAGATCGAAACAGCACATATCTAGTTTCACCTCGTGGAACAAAGGATCTTGTAGGAGGTCTGCTATCGAGGGATCCTTCCACATGGCTGAGTTCCTCGGGTGCTCGAATCCGACATGGCGTCCTTGTTCAATCTGTTTGAGGGCCACCTTGACAGCGAAGCGAATCAGTCTCCGCTGTTTGGCTCGAAGTCGACGGAGCAGTTGTGGTCTATCCTTGTAGTTGATGTTCGTCCATGGCCCCCATACCGTGCAAGGTAGTGCAATCCAAACAAGTTCGGGCTTGAAGTAGTCCACCTCCTCTAGGACCTTTTCTTGTTGATCGGGTTGAAAGAGATCATGACCAAAGCGGAGGTCCCGCGGCTCAAGGACGTTCATTTTGGACTTGGCGTACTCAAGGGTCAATTGGGCATGACCACAAAAAAGTTCCAAGATGGCAACCGGTTCTCCTTCTCCTCCCCGTAGAGACGTAGGCCATACCTTGTGTTTTTTACTTATAAGTCCTGTTACGCTACTTATACTTATAAGTAACATAAGTCAACTTATCCTACTTATGGACCTTACCGAATAAGTAGGACAAGTGCGATGGTAAGTAGAACATGTTGTGTTTTTGAAGGTTTTGCTTCTTTCTGTGTTTTGGTAAATTTCAACCAGATGCAGCCGCATATTTAAGACATCTGTATTTATATATACATATATATATATGTTCGTGTGCACTGGTTGGCGCGCGGCTGGACTTGGCCGCGGCAGTCTGTCTGGGGCCGTGTGTATATATATATATAGAGATCTCTGCGGCTCTGCGGAGGTGTCGGAGACATGACTGTAACAACAAAAACGAGCGGCGCGGAAGCCCCAAACCACCAAAAAAAAGACAAAAAAACAATATTTCCCGTCCCGGTCTTCCTTTCCCACAAATGATTTCATTGTTTTTCAATCTTCCCACAATTTCCCTTGTTAAAGGTAATTGGCAGGGTCTTTCCCACAATCTACTTCCCCAAAGTCTTCCCACAATTTCCCACAATTTTCCCACAATTCCGGGCACTCCGTTTTCTTGCGCCCAGTAAGTGCTCTACATAGGCCCAATGAGCCCGATAGAGGCTTCCAGCTTATACACCTCAGAGACCAGCACGCCCACGGCGTCCAAGGTGTACAAGATGTCGGTTGCAGCTGCGCCCAGACTCCCTCGCTGAGCATATGCGCTGCGTGCGTGTAGTCTTGCACAGGTCGCCGTGTGCGCGTCTCCATGCCTCCCACAAAAATGCTCCCACAGTCTATATTTGCTTAAGCCCAACGGCCAGGACAACCCTCAAAACCTCTATACCCATAAGTAGGTTAAGTAGAAAGTAAGTGGAACATTGTTTTTTTGTCATACTTACGTTGTACTTATAAGTATGCAAAATTTTTAACATAACTAGCGCAAGTATCTATATAACTACGATAAGTTCCAAGCCATTTTCGTAGAACTTACGCAACTTATCATGGTTATAACCAGGTTATAACTCTAGTTGTCCCACTCATAACTAAGTTATAAGTATAAAAAACACAAGGTATGTTTTGTTCTGCCCATGACCTCACCGGATCGGTGTTTCGCCCGATCGTCTCCAGCGCTGTCGCAGAGAAGGCCAGGAGCGTCGTCATGAGGCAGCCCAATGTTTGTCTCGCCCAACTGCGGACCCTTTTTCTGGCAACCCTCTTCATTTTGTGGCTAGGCAACTTGCGGACCTGGTCATAGTCGTCCGGGTAGTGGAGGTTCACCTTGGGCACCAGATCCACGGTCTCATTCGAGTCCCCAATGTCCTCGGACGAGACCTCATAGTTTTGTTTTCTCCCAAATAGGTTGAAGATGCCGTTGTCGGTGTCCCCCACATTGTATGTCCCTTGCATAGTTTCCTCAGTCTCCCCTGAGTTCATATTTTCCCCGCGGTTGGTCCGTGCTCTCTCAGCCTTAATGGCCTCATTCACTGCCGACCGGTAGGCTCTTGACTTGACACGGCGAGCTGATCCTGGTTGACAGTCTTCTCCAGGGCCTCGATCTTCTGGAAGCTGTCGATATCCTCGATCATGGAGAAGTCCTCGTCGGAGGAGGAGCTCAATGTCCGTGTCTTCTTGTTCGGAACTGTCTTGCTCTTCGTCTTGGGTGCTGGATCCCGTCTTGAGAGCTTGATCCCCTTGGCTGGCAGACTTGGGAGGCAGCTCCGCAGGTGGAGGTGCATTCACCGCGGTGGACTCCGGGTCCTTGTAGCCCTGCGGAGGTGGCGTCGTCCTTCTTGGACTTGTTCTCCTTGGCCAGTCCGGTGAGCTGTTGTCTCCCGTGGTTGTCTCCGTGATCGCCCAATCCAAGTAGCTTGAGGGCACCTCGCAGAAGCGGTAGCCCTTGTACCGGCCAAACGGTACCAGCTCCTCCGGAGTGGCTGGTACGCTGTCCCGGATCAACCGCATCAGCAGACCGCGGGTGGGCTTCGCCGGAATCTCGATGCCTGCCTCTCGGGCTTTGGTGATCAACTTGTCGAGCTTCATACATGGAGAGTCCCTTGAGCTCGTTGTGAGGCGGATCCTCCTTCTGCTCGGAGATGATGGATCGGAGTTCCGGCACAGTCCATTCCTTGCGAACTGGGATGCCCATCTGGACAAGGGTGTCCACCAGCTCCGCCTTGTTCATCTTCCATGGCGAGATGGTCGGGGTCGAGGACATCCGAAGGAATGGTGGGGTCGGAGGGCAAGACACCTGTCGATGTCTGCAACTTGAGTCGTCTGGGAAAACGGCTCCGTCCGACCCATAGAAATCTCCAAGATCCGGGGGCAGCATCGCCCCACTGAAACAGATGACTGAGAGGTAGTGCGTTGGTTGCGCAAGGAATCACAATCTTCTTCTAACTGTTCCAGCAGTTTGGTTTTCAAAAGTCTGGTGCGACGTAGTCCATGTCCGGGGATCAAAGGAAGTTCTTCGGGGTGTGACGTGGATGCGGTACATGTACTCCGGGGTCTCGATCCAAAAGTCCCTATAGTAATCCTTTGACCTCCACCAATTCAAAAATGCTTCATGGTGCAACGGCTCTGCGATCAACATATCATGTACAGCTTCCGTCAACTTCTTCGGATAAAACAGTTGTGACTCCGGCTGCGGGCTCACCATGTATACCTCTTGCGACTGAGGTACGAAGATCTCAGTGAGACTCCAGTCAATTCGCTCCGGCCACGGAAGCAGAGCCGGCTTGGTGCCAGTCACAGAAACTTGCGAGTGGCCGGAGGAACTCATAATCAAAGAAACCTGGCTGACGCCAAGTGCGCCGAAGTCTGCAAGGCCCTTGGCAATGTTGTAGTTCATGCCTAGCTCAGCCAATGCCGCCCTGCTCAGGAGCAAAGGGACGTCGGCACTGACCACGCTGATCTTGGCCAGGAACCATTTGTTCTTGATGGCGAGCCACGTCACTATTGCCATCTTTGAGGGGTAGAGTCTCTCCCCTCCAAACTTGAAGACCTCCTCTTGAGGGAGTACGAAGAAGGGAATGTGTTCAGCCTTCAGGTAGCGCAGGAAGGAGGTCATCCATGTTTTGCCAGCCAATGTCCTGCTGCACGCACAGTCGGTGATGGCCAAGAAACTTGACCCCTCCTTCTCACCCTTCTCTTCATCCGTGAAGTAGACCACATGGGAAGTTCGAAGATCAAGCCCTCCCATCTCCAAGGGCTTGTTCATCTCATAGTTCACGTTGTAGTGTGCCCCAAAGTCAATCTTGTCCTCGTTGGAGTCAATGACATAGGCGCCACCCATGTCCTTGCCGTCGAAGAGGTCAACCAAGTAGTCGCTGTCATCATTCAAGGCGGTCATGTAGACCACATGGTTGGTATGTGCGGTCTGTCCGGATTTTCCTTTGTTTGCCGGACATTCCGGGTCCTTGTGCCAGTGACCCTTCTTGTGACAAACCGAGCAATAGCTTCGTGCCTTGGCTGATTTGAGGCGCTCTTCTTTGGACTGAGAGAAACCTCGGTCCTTCATGATGGCACGATATTTGCTCTTGGCGTTCTGGAAGGCTACATAGGCCTCCTGGGTCGCTTCATCTCCCTCGAAGATGTCCACGTCCTCATCGTCCGTCAGGGTGTCCTCAGAGTCGTGGTCCTCCTCGTGGTCTTCATCGATGGTGGTCATCAGAGCTTGGTGTTTCCTTTTGTCATCATTCCTCCTATCCTCGGAGCGTCTGTCCCCATCTGGCCTCCTCTCCCACATCCTCCGGTTCATACGATCCTGGATGATCGCAGCGTCCTGAAGCTTGCTGAGGGTGTAGGAGTTTCCCACGGATGACAAGAGGTTCAGCTCCGAGGCATTGTCCATGCGCATCTTGTCGACATACCACCAGGCCAGACAGGCGTCCGGCAGTGCACATCCAACTTCTTTCAACCTGCCAGCCTGTCGGTCAAACTCCTGGTTGAAGTCCCGAATGTCCTGGTGTGTGTTCCGCTTGAGGGATTTGAAGAAGTCAGACATGTAGCGGCCGATCTTCGTCACCTCGCGGTCCATATAGCGGGACTTTATCCAATCGACAAACACCTCGACCCCTTGTTCGGAGTCGAGCAGTCCAAGCTCAAGCTCTACTGCATCACGCCAAGCTCGACCTGTGAGGTTGTTGTAGAGCATCAGGGCCTGTTTGGTGCATGTCAACCGGGTCACCCTCCTCCAGGCCTCGATCTTTCGGATGTAGCCCTTAGCCTTCAGACCATCCCTGTCATCTTCGCCATTGTACTCAGGAACCTGGATCTTGTCTTGTCCTCCAGCTCCACTTCGACGGTCTTCGTGTCCTTGCCATGGATCTCTTTGGTTCCCCCACCAAGGATCATGACCAATCCCCTGAGGTGCCGTAGGCGCCGCCGATGCAGTAGGTCCCAACGAAGATGCTGCTCCTGCACCATCTCCAGATCCAACCCTGGGATCTCCCGAAGGCGCGGACCAAGCGTAGTAAGCATTCCACCTTTTCCACTCCTGCTCACTCCAGCCACCCCAAGACCTCTCCGTTGGTGTCCCCGGCCTCATCTCCTCAGGACCAGCTGGAAGGGCTCCTTCAACATCCAGGTCGGCCTCCTGAACGCTGCCATCCTCATCGGTCGTAGGCATGCCCTCACCGTAGCGACCCCTGCCACACTCACCGTGACCTCAACCACCTCTAACAGCCCTAGAAGTCCCCCACGCACGGCGAAAGGAGTAATGGCTCAACGCTACCAATGTAAACAAGCAAAGGCGACACGCCTTTTCACAAGACAGCGAACTCTTGTGCCTAAAGCGGCGGCCGGCAGGGTCAACTGAGTGTCACATTCACAGTTACTAGTAGCTTTTTGTTCCTAGTAGTAAGGCCAGGAGCAACTAGTAGCGTCCTCGCTCCTAGTAGTGAGTGATGCCCTTTGCTACTAGTAGCTTCTTGTTACTAGGATCCACATTCTCGCATCCTTGTTTCTAAGATTGCTTTTACTGTGCAGTATGTGGAGCTGCCCCTTGGCTGCAGCGGGTATCACGGACATGAAACCGAACTTTTCAGTTGCAAAGAACGATGGCGGCTTGAGGGCATTCAACGCATTGAATTAGATTTACAGCCTCAAAACAATTGATCATTTATGCTGTCTCCTCCTTTAAATGTTTGATGATTTTTGAACAGAACTCCATGGAACTCCTTCGATTTCGCTTGAAGCTCATCTCACGTCAGCTCATTTTAAATTTGCTCACCTTGTCATTTCTCTGTCTGCTACAGATGCTTGTGCAATTCAAAAAAGCCCCATTCTCACTTGCGAAAAGACAGTGACGTAGAGAGTCCATTGTTCTATTGTTCATCAAATTTTGCAATGAACACACGAGAAACATGTGTTTCTTTTCTTTTTGGGGGTTAGGCTGCTAAGAGGGAGGTAGTAGCTAGAGGTAGCTAGTAGAAGCTAGGTAGCTACTAGCAGCACTATCAGGCTTCTTCAAGGAACCTCGCCCTGGTGCCGTAAAGGCGGCGGGGGGGAGCTTCCTTGAAGAAGCGCTCGCACTATTCGTTTGGTTCCTAGATTTTGAAGGACACTTAAGCTTGGCGAGAGCAGCGTGCACTGCTTCCCATTACAGACGCACAAGTCAAGATCAATGCCACATTGGAGCACTTTCGGTACTTCCAGTTTGGTGAAGTTCATCATGGTCCTTGGATCTTCGGTTCTATAGCTTTCCCGCCCGGGTACAGTCCTGCAGTTGAGCCAGGAGGCATCACCAGCGTTTGATGTTTCAAGTTGCCTGAAGAATGAAACACCCCATAGGAGCCCCGCTTTGGTCAAAAGCGAGTTTGTTGCTTGTCCTTCAGCTTTTCGACATCAGTCCTTTGCCCATCCAAGTTTGACGTCTCTTCTGGGAAGCGGACAGCAAAGAAGCCATGTACCGTCAGAGTCCAAGGTTTTAAACGACAGCCTCCAAGCTGAAACAGATAAACGGTCGTCACAATTTTTCTCATCCAGGCAAGATCAAACTATACATACACCATGACGCGATTCACAATGCTGACGTGTTGTTCAAATGTGTATAGCCGCCTTTCGCACCGTTGGCACACCCAGGCTTCCAGATGATTCAGTAAATTCCCGTGTCAGGGCCTTTGGGCACTTTGACACAGTAAAGATATCCCAAACTCCGGCACATGCATCCTGTTTAGAATGGAGGCCAGCAATGTCCAAAGAAGTAAAAACACAAAGTTAAAAACTACAAGCTTCACAGCAATCTGCGAGGCTGAACGACTGCGTTTGATTGCACCTTCCCCGCTTTCCTCTCCAGTGGCTGCATTAGGCACAGGCGCGGTGCCTACCAAGCACAAAAACAGCCAGACTTTGGATGACCGTCCATGCACCCCAGTCTTGAAGGTCTTTTTTGGACTTTCATTCAGTTTGGACAATCTAGCAATGTCTGCAGTCTTCGTGCGGACAGTCAAGGCTCCACCCCGGCAAACTGCGTCGAGGTGCCGGAGCAAATAATTTTGCTTTGTTTGCAAGCTGCTTGATAAGAGTACTGAGTACTGCAACAATAGAAACGCAGGCTTCGAGGATTTTTGCTCAGGATGGATTTACCCTGATTTACCAAACATGATCTACTAACAGAGAGGGGAATGAGAAGAAGAGGACAGATGTGGAGACATCAAGAGAGATTCACAATATTGGCACAATGAATCACCCAAGCCACGGAAAGTGGTACAAAGGGACGTTGTGGTCGTGAATAGGCGCCAAAGGTGCCCCAAGCGGAAGTACGTGCGCCCAAGGCCGTTGTACGGACCAAGGCAGGTAAGGGTCCAGTTACCAGTTCCTATTGAGTGAAAGAGCCTTTGCAATTGCTTCATGTTATTTTGATATTATATTCTATATATTAAATATCTATATGGTGAGGAGCTTGATGGGTGCTCAAGTTATCCAAACAGATGTCTCATTTATTGCAGACATACCAAAGAGGAATGCGTGAAGCATTGGATGCTTTCATGTACTCCAGGCGCCCCTGGTGCCACAGGGTCCAAGGATCATGCTTCCGCCTGGGGCCATCAAGCCACATTCAGAATACCAGGCCATGGTCCCGTCTTCTGTGTCAGCGCAAGGCAAATGGAACCGCAAGCAAAGAGCTTCTCGTGCTGTTCTGCTATTCCAGACCTGGAGATATGTGCATGCTGCATGACTAGAGGTACTGAGTCCTAAGACAGGCACATTCCATTTCTGCTCACTGTTTTGAGATGTCAGGCTGAGCGGTCCAAGAAGAGATCTGCAGTACCAATGCCGTGCCCTCTCGAGCTTCCTCAGGCATGGAAATCCATTTCTGAAAGCTCAAGTGCAATCATTGATTAGTAGTGTAGCTGGAGTCTGGAGTTCAAGATTTTCAAGCCAAGCTAAATTATATTTGCCGAAGAAGGCTTGTTTCACATCACTCGCTGTCAACATCGAGATGTATATATCCTACAAGTCTTCCTCATTCAACATGCCGACCAGGTCTATGTCGCTCATTCAAGCTTGCACTAGCCACTAGCCTCGTATCAACGCTACCAGATTTATTTACTGTAAGAGATTGTCCAAAAAGTATCGTTGCATCACCGGCATTTTACTATGCAGCGCGGTGCTTGTACCCAGTTCTCACCACTCTTGCTCTCTACTCTTTGTTGATGTCCTATGCCTGGTTGCAGTGCCGCGGTTTGGGGGGCTGAGCGATTGCCTTCGCAGTGGTTCCCTTCATCGATTGTGGTGCAAATTCAAGGGCTACGAATCTACGAACATGACTTTAGACTTTGCGGGTAAGACTACCTAGATGACAACTGTACGCCAGCCCGCATTGACATCCCGCAAGCCAGAACTTGCTATAGAAGGTTGTTGGAAACATGCTCCTGAGGAAAGTGACAGAACTTCAACCAGGTACTAGTGGGAGATGTGGGCATGTTGATTGATACATGTATAATAATGTACATTATACAATTACGGCCAGAAGCTTAAGGCATGGATCAAGTACCAAAATCGACACCCGATCCATACCCTGATCCAAAGGACGTGGATCAACATCACTCAGTTGATCCACACCTTTGGATCAAACTGGCCTCCAACCGTTACTGGCGATGGCCTCCAACCTAATAGCAATGGCCTCCAACCTAATAGCAATCAATGGTCTCCAACTGTTCAAATGGTTCTGATGCAAAAGGGGGTCAACAGATTTCTTTAGTGCTGCTTGCTGGAAGGGGCCCGTTGCGGCAAGGTTCCCCCCCCCACACAACCTCTCACCTCCCAGAGTGAACCTTTTTGTGGGCTGCACCCGCCAATACCCAATATGAAGTGGAGGCCAGAAATTTCAGTCTGCAAGGCTGCCCCCGCACAACCTCTCACCGCCCAGGGTGAACGTAGTGGCGCCAAGTAATTTCTTTTTGTGGGGCTTGACTTGCCAATGCCCGAAATGAAGACAATGGAGGCCAGAAACTTCAGTCTGACTGTAAACGTGGAGGCAAGCAGTTTAGCGGTAACCATTAGCTTGAATGTGGAAGAAAGGGTCAATAAGAGGAACACCGTTTAGCGGAAGCCATAAACTTGGACGTCTGGGGGGGCAACTGTGAAGAAGAGGAAAGCTGTTCAGCGGAAACCATTAACTTGGATGTGGAAGCAACTGCAAAGAAGAGGACAAGTTGGGTGGAAGAGACAGCGAGGAAATGCATAAGAATGTCATGGGGGCTTGTCAAGGTCAATCGTGTCAAGTGGGTTGGATCAGGTGATCAATTGTTTGATCCATAGGGCTTAGATCAGAGCTTGGATCCATAAAGTTTGGATCACAGTCGCGGCAGCACGGAGCGATCCATACGTATTTATACAAGTATCAAGTATACCGATATATGCTCGTCTGTGTCTCTCTCTCTCTCTTTGTCTGTTCTGTTCTGTTCATGAAAGCTAGCCTTAGCTAGCTGAAGTTGCTCTTGCTTTAGCAAGTTAAATGACGGGGTGGACGCGCCTCAGAAACCTCAAATAATTGATTAAATCTGAGCATGCGACATCAAAAGCTAAAAAAGCTGCCGCACGTGTTTCTTGAGCCAAATTCCAAGTGTAGTCGTTTATGTTCAGTTCTGCTGACTGACATGTCGATTTCGAAAAATGTCTTCCTCCGGCTCGAGCTCAATTGCCTTGGGAAGCGGCGAGCACCTCAATGGAAGGTCAGGATGCCGGGTCACGAGTTCTCGAGCATAGTCCGGCTGGCCAATCATGAGGTTTGCCCCATTTCATTTCTACTCCACAAAACTTCCTCCACTCCGACGAGACCACCCACGTTGGTGTAGAGCATCTCCAGGTCGAGGCCAGCTTCGTCAAAAAAGCCTGCGCCACTGGTCGGGGGCCCATGATGATGAAATCGTCCACGTAGGATAGAGCAAGCCCCGATGTTTCACCCTCCTCCATGACATTCACGTAGTCCCCTTCTGCACCAGACGCAGTCATCAATCTCCACACGTTTGGTTCTGGCGTTGCATTGAGCCAGTAGTGCACACCTGACTCCCACCACCGTAGACTGCGGAGAACATCATCCCTGTATGCCTGCCAGTCCGACGGAGAACTGTCCAAACCATATACCGCCGCCTCAACTACCCATCGGGTGTCAGCAGAAATCAATCCAGCTTCGATCAAAATAGCCGGGGGCTTGGTGACCATGAGTCGGTGTGACTTCCGAGGTGCCAGCAAGAAAGCTGAGGAGACATCAGTGATCCCTATCGACCACTGTTCATAGGCTGCCTTTCTCAAAGCGCACCTCAACGATCCTCCATCGATCCCGCTGGCATACAGCTCAAATGATTTTCCTGCAGAGGAAGTCACCTGCTTGTCCTCCTTCACAGACTGAGATTGTCCAGCTCGTCGTGCAGTGTCCTCCACCAAATTTCCGCAGAGAACTATTCTTGATCTTTTCTTTCCATCCGGTGCCTTGACCGTTGGAACCAATTTCGATGGCACAACCAGCATCTCCTCATAGCCCGGCTCATGACAAAGATCTCGGACTGACACCGGTCGAACCGCCTTCGTGGTGCGTTCCAAGGAGTTCACCTCATATTCCAATGACGGAATCCAATCCTTCAGCTCCTTCCTCACCTGCGCCAGAGGAACAGTGTATGTCTGGAGGACTGCATGGACGTTCAGGGGAGACTGCTGCTCACCATCGGGATGTTCTCCAACCACCCCTTCAGCCATCTTAGCCATTTGATAGCCCATGTCAAAGTCCCTGATCTCCGTCAGTTCATTTTCCAGGGCCAGGACATTCTTCTCCAAGTAGTCCATCAGCGCTCCTCGTAGTTGTCCATCCTCTTCGCCCACCACCACATCTTTCAATAGGTCACTCCATAGCTGCTTCCAGCCCCAATGTTCCTCGTGCATCCACTTCGTCAGGTTATAGGCTTCATCAACCCCACACTCCACGGTGCCATTCATAGCCCTCTCCTCAGGCTGCTCCAAGGGAGTTTCACAGAAGTCACAGCATTCCAACTTCTTCATCGATCCACCCTCCTCCAGAAGAGAGGGACTCCCCCCCAGTCCAGACCTGGACTGGTTCTCCCCCACAAGTGGCATGTAGTCGATGAAGTCCAGGATCAGGCGATGACCTTGGAGGTGGAAGTTGGGGAAGCATTGGTTCCATTGGTTGTTTCCCCGTCAACCTGTGCAGCGGCTTCTCAGGCTCTGGGACCATTTGAAGTTCTAGAACTGCTCGTTCAGCTCCTGGATCTTGTTGGACCACCACCCTGGCATGTTGGACCTGTTCACCTTCCATCAATACATATCCTTGTGACATGAAGGGAGATGGGCCCACGATGGTCATAGTTCGAAAAGGTGCCGTCAAAGGGCCAAAGCCTGCTCTGTGCCATCTCTTAGTTTTCACTGTGACTCTCCCCCCAATCGGCAAGAGTGCTGTGGATGGGACACCAAGATGAGAGCATTGGCGTCGAAGTCGTTCCTCACCCACGTAGCGAGCAATCCCCGGCCACCATTTCTGTTCCAGGCCACTCTCCTTAATGAGAAGACGAAGGCGTCGCTTCACCTGGTTCACCTCACACTCAATCCGCCCATTGGATGGTCCTTCATCTCCACCCGTCATAGTTTGATATAGTCCAAATCGTCGGCAGAAGGACTGAAAGGATCTCGACAAAAAAGCACACTCTCTATCTGTCGTGTGTACCCGGAGCATGTGGACCCCCATAGCCTTGTGATGTTCTGCACCCCCACCGGTTCTCCCAAACTTTTGATGTAGTCCTCCCAGGCTCCATTCAGTCTTTGTACCTGATCGTCGTCAGGTTTTGGATGTTCAGGGTTGTAGTGGTCCTGACCCTGCATGTAGTTCCACACCTCCTGAGGAACCTCTGGAAATCTTGATGACCACCATTTGCGAACCTCCTCATCCAGCATCAGCTCCCCCTTGTCCTCCTTCTCCATGATGTCCAGCAAAGCAAGGGCCTGCTTCTCAGGAAGTACAGGGCAACCGCCTCGCAATCTGCACTCAATCTTTCCACTTTGAGGATGGGTGATCTTCACGCCAGCCGAGGTCCACTGCAACCTGCAGCCCAACTTCACCAGTCGGTGCAAGGGAACTATCACTTCCACGTTGTCCCTGGTCAGCAAAGTGTTGTGCTCCTTGACACGGAACAAGGTTGTCGATCCCGATGCCAATTCCACGGTGACAGGGACCAATCTTGTCATCTCATGAGGACGGGCTCGGCGTAGCCCATTTGTTGCACCACCGTCCAAGAGAGCCACTGGTTCACAACCATCTGAGCATTGTGGCTTCAGCTCCTTCAATCGCAGCATCTTCATGCTCCGCAATGCCTTCAGAAGCGATGTAGCCTCCGTCAACAGTTCAGCCGTGGCATCCCGGCCCTGCGGCTTGTCCGACCCCGTCTCTAGTACAGGCTTCTCCCCCGTCTCTGGCTTGTCGGAGTCCTTCGCGGTCTTCACCTTCGCCACCTTCTTCCCATCTGGCTTCACTACCTTCGCCCCATTCGGACAATCCTTCTTCATGAGTAGTCCACCACAGTTAAAGCAGCGACCCTTCATGTCCGCATTGTCATGGGCATAGGTGCAATTGGTGCCACGCTTGCAGCCTTCCTCGCTCTTCCAGAACTTGCAGGCTGGTTTTTGGGAAGACCGATCCTCCGATTCCGTGACCCCGAAGGAAGATGCCATAGCCTTCACAGATGTAGTCGGCTGGGTTCCTGCAGCTCCGGTTGCGGTGGTCGTCTGCTGTGACTTCATTGGCGTAGTCAGCGGCCATCTGAGCTCCGCCTGATTTGGTGGCACTGTCAACC